GAGAGAGAGAGAGAGAGAGAGAGAGAGAGAGAGAGAGAGAGAGAAAGCCAGAAATGGGCGACCTAAGAGATCCTGGGAGCATTTCATTCACAAAAATCAAGTCTGCTCCTTCAAGTCCCAGCCAAAGGAAGCCAAGGGGGAGATGGGGACATTGATTCCCCCTCTCTAGCACCCTTCAGAATCACTTTACCCTGCCCCCCAGCTCAAGGGGGATCTAGCTCTCCACCCCACAGTCGGGATTAGCGTCCAGCCCCTCACGGCCACCCAGTGTATGGACCCTGATGTCCCAATCTTAGGGACCCAAGGAACGAGTTCTAGCCCCCTCCCCCACCTGCAAGGTGCTGGGTTTCCCAGCTCTTCGGAGGGGAAGGGGCAGCCGCAGCGCCCCCAGCCCCCTTTTCTCAATGGGATGGGATTTTGTGAATGAGCAGTCACGTGACGCTGCTTCCTTTGTCCGCCCGCCTCCCCCGACAACAGGTGAAGCTGGGAAAGAGGGCAGGGGTCCCCATCAGGCCTAGCTGGGATGGGGCATCGGGATTTCTGGGTGCCCTGTGCTCCCCACACATCTATGCTCCCAGGAGGAGTGGTCCCTAAAGTTCCTCAATGGCGAGGGTCCAGGACAAAATTTTGTGAATGGGGCGTCCTCGGTGGAAGTCCAGGACCCCCAAATGGAGACTGGTAGCCCAAATGGCTGCCGCGCAGTTTGGGGGCCACCACCCCCTAGTCCTCCCGGCCAGGTCTGCGAAGGGCCCGGGTGCACCCAGGGGCGGCGCGGTCCCAGCCGCCCCTCTTCGGGTCCTGTGGTCCGACAGCCCCCGCCCCCTCGCCGCCCTCGGCACCTGCCTGGGAGGCTCCGGCCGGGCTCCGAGCGGCGGCGACGCGGCCTCCTCCTCCTCCTCCTCCTGCTCCCTCCAGCTCCCTCGCTGGCTCCGGCGGCGCTGGAGACGGGCACCGGGAGCCGGGGTGAAGGGGGAGGAGGGGGAACCTGGAGGACGGGTGGGGGGGAGGGAGCGGTTGGGGGAGGGGAGAGAGCGAGACGGGCACGCTTGCCCGCTGCTGGGTCCTAGAGCCCGGCACCGGCTCCAAGGAGTAACCCCCCCCAACCCCCATTTCCTCAGGATCCGGAGGAGAACCCCCAGTTTCTCATTCCTCCGCCCCATTGGTCCCTGATGCGGATGCGAGGAGGACACAGAGACAGGGCCTGGTCTCTGGGCTCTAAACAGGGTGGTCTAGGATTTGAGCTTTCGGTGCGAGAGGCTGGGTGCCTGGCAGAGTGCGAAAAGGGGTGGGCGGTGTCGGAGGGTCTGAGAGAGCACGGAGCAAGAGGGTACGTCAAAGAAGGGGCGGGTCCACGGTGGACAGGCTAGGGCACGCGGAGGAAAGGGAATCTGTCTCACTTGATAGAGGCAGCCAACCCTAAAAAGGCGGAGCTTCAGCGATATATTCCCTTATGTCAGGGGCAAATGAATGGCCCCCTCAAGGGAGGAGCTAAGTAGTCAAGTTTACTGTAGGCGGGACTTTGGGTGGGAATAACGGAGAGGGGAGGAGCATTCCGAAGATGAGGGACTAAACAGAATCTTCTAAAAGGGTAGGGCTTGGGACCCGAAGGCCTGGGGCTAGGAAGAAGACATTCAAGTAATTCAAAGGAAGGCCAGGCGGGTAAAGGGCTTAGGCTCAAGCCGGCCAGAAGGCGTGGCCTCGAGCCAGGGGGCGGGGCCTAGACCTCGGGGTCCGCTGGGGCTGTCTCGCCCGCGTAGCTTCACCCCATCCCCGTTCTTTTCCGTTATTTTCTGCTCCGGCCGTTCCCCGCCCTATCCTGGGCCCAGGGGGCTGCGATCTGAACTTGGGTCGACTGGAGGAGTCAGTGAAGTCTTCTGGGTGAAGGAGCTGAGGCGGAGTTCGAGGAAAGGGCTAGAGCCTGAGTGTAGAGAAAGGAATGGGAAGATTCGAGGCGTGAGGCTTGAGAACCTGCCGCTGCCTGGGAAGAGGGTGGGATCCAAATGATCGACAGAGAGGGTGGGTGAGTGGAGGCCCAGAACTGAGCACTGAGGGATTAGCACAATCAGCATACTTGGTACAATCCTTATTAAATAGGGGGAGGGAACAGACAGGGGGAGAGGAGGGCAGGGATGAGAGCCCACTTCCTGCAAATCGGGGCGGGGTCCAGCCTTCAATCAGGACGGGGTCCATTCCTCTGGTTGTGGCCTAAAAGACTACTGGATGACTGGCAAGATTTTTGTTGTTGTTTGAGGCACTGGGGCTTGAGCCTAGGGCCTTTGCATTGAGCTATATCTCTAGCTTTATAAAAAAAAATTAGCGCGTCTGTAATCCCAGCGCTTGGGAGGCTAAAAACAGGAGGATCACTATGAGTCCAATCTGTGTAATGAGACCTTGTACTAAATACATTTAAGGGCTTGGGAGGTGGCTCAGTAGAATAAGTGCTTCCCGGGCAAGTGCAAGAGCCTGAGCTCAATCCTCGGTTCTGGAAATTTTTTTTTTTTTTTTTTTTTTTTTAGTAGGTTGATAAGTTGCCCAGGCTGGGCTCAGATTTACAATCCTTCTGCCTCAGCCTCCCAAAGTGCTGAAATTAGAGATGTAAGCCACTGTGCCCCACAAGACCTGAGTCTTGACGACTGGAGACCCGGGCATGGCCAAATAGTAAGAGATGTGATTTAAACCGAGGGAACAAGATAGAGCATTAATACACGAAGGGATTGGGGGCCTATTATCTGAATAGCAGGTATGAGGGGTCGTGAGAAAGTAGGCAGGAGTTACGACTCAGGGAACAGGTGACTATGGATGGGAGCTAAGTGAATGTAGGAGGGCAGAGGCGGGGCCAACGCAGACCGGAAAGTCCAAGAACAGCCTGCCCTGAGGGGGGACCCTGCTGCCCTGGTTCACTGGCAGTTTTTCTGATCACAGTCCCCAATCTCCGTAGGAAATGGGGAACGTGCAGTCGGAGCCGTCTGCGGGCGGAGGCTCCCAAAAAGAGCAGGCCTCAAACCGCACCTCCGACTCCCGCCGGACATCCCTGGTGCAGCCCGAGGTGACTCCCTCCTCCCCGGCCACGCGCCTGGCTCGAGGGCTGGGTGTCTGGTTCCCTGGCAGCTCCGCGCCCCCGGGATTCCTGGTACCCCCAGAGTCCCAAGCCTCAGCTGCGTCCCTGCCCCTGACCTTAGAACTGCCCTCTTCAGTGACGCCCCCTCCAGAGGAGGCGGCTGCAGCCGCCGTCTCCACAACGTCCCCGCCCCCCGTGGGGTCCCTGCTGCCCGTGCCGTCTAAGTGGCGAAAGCCCACGGGCGCTGCGGTGCCTCGGATCCGAGGCCTGCTGGAGGCAAGCCACCGCGGCCAGGGCGACCCTCCGAGCCTCCGCCCGCTGCCGCCGCTACCCAGGCAACTAACTGAAAAGGACCTCACTCCGGGGGCCCCAGTCCCAGCTCTGACGCCCCTGGAGCCTCGGAAACCGCCACCGCTGCCACCTTCCGAGCGGCAGCCCCCGAGTCGCGGCATTACTCCAGCCCTGGCAACCTCCGCCACCGGCCCCACTGACAGCCAGGCCAAGTTCGGCACCGAGAGCCAGAGGGCCAGCGGGGCCCGCGAGGGGGCGCCTCCCCAGGCGGGCGAAGGCGAAATGGCCCGATCTGCCGCTTCCGAGTCCAGCCTGAGCCTTCTGTGTAAAGTCACCTTCAAGTCGGGGACCCCTTTGTCCCCTGCGACAGCCTCAGGTCCTTTAAAAGCCAAAGCCTCCCTCGGGGGTGGCAGAGGCGGGGGACTCTTCGCCACCTCGGGCGCCATCTCCTATGCTCAGGTCCTGAAGCAGGGATCCCTGGCGCCTGGAGCCCCTCGACCCCCAGGAGAGGTCCTTCGTGGGGCACAGGAAAGCGAGGGCGGTGAAGGAGACAGTGAAGGGTGTTCTGGTCCCCCCTCCGGGCCCGAGTCCCACACACGGGCCCTACCACCGCCAGCCTACACCACTTTTCCTGGCTCGAAACCCAAATTTGACTGGGTGAGTCCCCCCGAAGGCCCTGAACGACACTTCCGCTTCAACGGGGCTGGCGGAGGCGTCGGGGCGCCCAGACGGCGTACAGCCACACTCTCGGGGCCCTGGGGCTCCCCTCCTCCCCTGCGAGGGCTGAAGCATCCTGCTCCCGGGCCCCGGAGGCCCACTCCTCCTCTGCTGGCGCCGCCTATGTTCATCTTTCCGGCGCCCCCCAAAGGCGAGGCCGTGCGTCCCACGCCTCCTAGTCAGCAGCAGTCACCACCGCCGCCGCCACCGCCGCCGCCGCCGCCACCGCCGCCGCCACCATCACCACCCGCACTACCGCCACCGCCCAGGCCACCAACCACCTCGCCACCGCCGGTGCCTCCACCCACATTGCAGCAGCCTGCGTCTCAACAGATGCCTATGGCAGTGGCCCGACCGCCCACTCCGCTCCCTGTCCCTGTCCCTGTCCCTGTCCCTGTCCCCGGCCCCAGCCCTGGCCCCAGCCCCTGGGAGTCAACTGTAGTTCTTGCCCCAACTCCTCCTTTAGTTCCTACCTTGGCAGCTGATCAAGCCCTGGCACTGGTCCCAGAGCCGGCAGTGGCCCCACCTCTGCCCTCAGCCCCACCCCTACCCCCAGCCACAGCCCCATTCCCTTCCCCGTCCCCATCCCCAGTTCCTGCCGCGGCCACCAATGAGCCATTGCCCCCTGCGCCTACACTCGCACTTGCGCCCACACCCACTAAGACTCGCACGCGCAGGAATAAGCGTTCTCGCATCGCTCGAGGGGCGACCCGTGAAGACCGCACGCCTGGAACTGGTCCCCGAGCAAAGACTACAGCTGTCACTGACAGAGGGGCCGCTCTGGCTGGGGTAGCTAATACCAGTGCTGTGCCCCACTGGCCACCCTTCCAGGTGCTTAATTCTTGTCCCTGCAAGTGTTACTGCCGCCACCAGCCGCACCATCGCCGCCTGCCAAGCAACGTGTCGGCCTGGTGAGGGGAGGTCAGGAAGTGGGAAGGAGGGCATGGCCGGTAGTCCTGAACCATTTTCAGTCCTCAGCCTAGGATGAACCCTGACCCTCTTTAACTGCACTTCACACCTAGCTGAGCTCCATGCCTTGAGCACCACCTGGGAGCCTGGACCTCCCATAAATGTGGTAGGGCATACCTTGGCCTAGCCCCTTGGTATTCAGACCCTCACACATTGGTCCTCTTGTTATTCTGGAACCATGAGATGCTGGACCCATCTGGCCTAACCTATTCACCGCCTTGACCTGTGGACACAGAGGGGCCATGTCTCATACTGTTAAGCATGGGAAATGGTCTTCCAGGAACCCAAAGGGGATCAGCGTAGGGCTCCAGCTATCTTGGACTCAGAGAGAATCCCAGGGCAGCCTCCTCAGGCCTTTGGTAATTTCTCATTCTTGGGCCTATGGCTTTGACCACTAAAGAACTGATACCTCAGCCCTTGTGCTGCAAAATCTACTTGATTCTCCAGATCTAGAGAGTACACTGCATGCCCTAGTTCTTCTACCCCCACACTGTATCTCTGAATCTGAGCCTGGTTCTAGAAGATACCCTGGCTCCAGATCCGATTCTGCCCTGGGCTGCTTAGGGCCTCAGCTGGCACACCATCAGCCCTTCCCCACACTACTACACATAGGTCTGCCCAAAGCTGTCTTTGGGATAGCCAGACAGTCACCAGGAGCTTCCTTAATTAGATGGGGAAAGCTCTAGAGGTAAAGGCCTGGTCACAGACTGCTGTTTCTTGTCTCCTCTCAGGTTGAGCACAACTACCAACCACCTGAGTGAGCCACCTTGGGTCACCACCATCAAGCTGGCTGGCTCCCTTGTAGCTGGGCTGCAGCACTATGACTTGCAGGCCACCCATTCTGACTGAGTGCAGCCTGCTCAACCACCTCTTCCTTCCCTGCCACACCAATAAATTATCCACTGCAGATGGCCATCAGTTGCTGTAGGTTGAAGTGGGGTAAGGCAGAGGTTTCAGGGAGGGGGGTCCAAGCCCCAGCCTACACCTTTTGTTCAGAAGGATCATGCTGGTAGCCCACAGAGATTCCATTTCACATGTCATTTGAAAAATTATTTAATCCATTTTTAACATTTAAAAAATTGGGACACTACCCCTTGCTGAAAAGAACTGGTGCCCTGCTCCAGCATTCCCATGCGCTCACAGCTGGCCCTCTACCTGGGACCTGTATTCCCCTGTAGATCACAGGACCACTAGGTATGTGTTTGCAATCTCAAGCAATGGCCATTGGGTAGAGGCTGACTGGAGAGTTATCTCCAACCCCCAAGGGGCCCACTCACCATCCTGACTGGGGAGACAAGGGCCTAGGAGACCAAATGTCAATCTCCACCTTTATTGGAGGACACCCAGCCCTGTAATTGTTTTTAAATAACCACACCCTGCCCACCCCCAGGGCCCAGTGGGCTCAGACAATCATCTCCAACTGCCGGGCATACTCGATGACCTGTTTGGCCAATTCCGTGGAGGGGATGGTGGTATCTTCTGGTTTCTGCTGCTGGCTGGCAAAACTGTAATAGTTGTTGGGCCCTAGGACCCACCCTCGCTGCAGGAAGAAAGGGATCAGAGATGAGTAGGGTGCTTCCAAGGGCTGCCTCGCCACCTCAGGGAATTGTCACCAGCCGCCTATGGCATCTTTTTCTCAACTCCATCTACCCACACAACTCCAGACACAAACTTCACTCTTTTTTTTTCTTTTTTTGGCGGAACCGGGGATTGAACTTGGGCCCTTGCGCTTGCTAGGGAAACACTTATTCCACAGAGCCATCTCCCCGGCCCCCAAACTTCACTCTCTGTGCTTCAGTTTCTCCATGTTGGTCATGCTGTGAGGATGTGGTGAGTCAAAACCTCTACAGCACCAAAAAGTGTCACTACCACTCAGACTCCCTTTCACCCCACACCTGCCTCGTGAAGAGGAGCTCACCAGGTTCAGCACAAGAGCTAGCCGGCGTCTCCAGAGGCACTACTACTGCTCAAGTGCCCCAGCAAACTAAAAACTTTTAATAAGGGCAAAAGCCAACATGCAGAGCCCTGCCTCTAGCAGGTGCCAGGCTAAATTCATTCTATGTGTCAGCTCTGGCACCATTCTATGGAGAAAACTGAAGCTCAGAGGCAATTTCTTTAAGGTCACACAGCTGAGACAGGGTCTCCCTATGCAGTTCAGGCTGGCTTTGAACTCACTTTGTAATCCAGGCTGGTCTCAAACTCGTAACAATTTTCCTGCCTCAGCCTCCCAAGTGCTGGGATTATAGGTGTGCACCACCACCCAGCCTACACAGCTGCATTCAATCCTAGGATGCTTGTTTCTTCTAGTGTCCCTCTAGGCTACCCCCTATTCTCTAACACTGCCATTAGATAGCATATCCCAGGGCTCCATGGCCCCTGGCCCAGCACTCCAGCCACCTTCTTGGCGTAGTCTGTCATCTTTTTGGGTGTGTTGAAGAAGAGAATCCGGGTGGCTTCAGTAAAAAGGATTTTTTCATAGGCCTTCTCAATGCACCCAGCAATCTCATCCCTGTGGGAAGATAAAAAGGTTCTCATTACCAAGCACAGTCAACCCCCAGGTCCTGTCCTCCCAAGCCTGACAGGTGTCATCTCTGACCCTTTAGCATTAGTGGATGGAATGTTACCACCTCCTTTGAAGGCTCAGGGAATTCACAAGAGACTCAAAAACCAGGCAACTGCCACAGGCATCCGCATCTAGATTGCTCTGGCTCTTAGAACTATGGAACCAAATAACGGACCCCAACTCTGCATTCTCCTCCTAGCAACAGCACTTAGGCTCTCTGAAACCCAACTTCAGATTCCTATAAGGGGACCTCTTCACAGAAGATCTGGATCGCAAGGATGCTGCACACTGTGGGGCCCTTGTATCCATCAAAACCCATGAACAGCACTGAAGTACAAAACAGCAAGATATGAACAAAACAGTGGCAGATATGAATACACTTGCTGCTGACACATCACATCTCTCAGGCCCAGTTTGGGAGAGTTAAGATATTTTAAAAAACAAACAAAGTTTGGGGTTGTAGCTCAGTGGTAGAGCACTTGCACAGGGTTCATCCCCGGTACCCAAAACACCTGGGCCGGGGAGACAGCTCAGTGGTATAAGCACCTGCCTGGCAAGTGCAAGGTCCTGAGTTCGATCCCTGGTACCAAAAAAACAACACCCCCTACACCAGCCCGGTCATCATTCCTAGATCTGTGAGCTTGCCTTTGTCACCCAAAGGCAGATGAGGACACAATAGTCCTCATCTGTAATTCCCACCACTCAGGAGGAGGAAATGGGAAGACTGCACAAGCCAGCCTGCCCTACACAGCAAGTCCCTCTCTCTCAAAAAAAAAGAACAAATGGTGTGCTAGGAGTAAGAGTGCACACCTATAATCTCAGCACTGTAGAAGACTGAGGCAGAAAGATCACAAGTTCAAGCCCAGTACAGGCAACTTAGTAGGACTTTCTCTTAAAATAAAACATAATGGGGGATGGAAGGTGTTAGAGATGCCGCTCAGTGTGAATACCCCAGCACAGTGGGGGCGAACCTACGGCATGCATGCCACAGACGGCTGGTTTGTATCACTGAAAGCTCTAACAGGTTCATCACTCCTGCCCTAGGAGCAATCTCCAGTTTCAAACAAAAACAGCAACAAACCCATTTTATTTTATTTTTTTTGCGGAACCAGGGGTTGAACTCAGGCCCTTGTGCTTGCCAGGCAAACGCTTATTCTACTGAGCCACCTCCCTGGCCCCAACAAACCCATTTTAAACCCACAAGGCTGCTGCTGCTCATCCCTAGATCTGTGAGCTTGCCTTTGTCACCCAAAGAATGGAGACACACTTCAATCTGCTGCTCTGCCCAAGTGTATCAACTCTGTCACCACAGTAATAATACCCTTCTACACCCCAAGGGACTTATATGTCATGCCCACTCGCTCACATCTGATCATCTGTGCACACAGCAACCAAAGGAGCCGGCAGGCACAGTGACCCCCTTCTAGGGAAGGGAATACGCACTGCACTGGTGAAGTGCGCTGAGGTCAAGGCATGTGACTCATGGGCGCATCCCTGGCCTACAGAAGGGCTGGAGCAGGCCAAGGAGATAGCTCAGTAGAATAAGCGCTTGCCTGGCAAGCGCAGGGTCCTGAGTTCAATCCCAGGTACCACACACACACAAAAAGGTCATTTTCTAAAAAAAAAGAAGGGCTGGTGCACTTCTCACAGAGGTAGCACAGCCCCCTGAGGAGCTATCTGGGTACCACACACAGGCTCAGCCTGACATCTGTGGCCCCACATAGAAATAACCTGGAACAAGTGGAGGTCTAGTGTCCACCATGACACAAGCAGCTCTGGCTCACAGGAGAGGGGAGCCAGAATAGCAAACACCCAGATTGCCAGTGGCCAGAGCAGGATTCGAATTCAGCTGTGCAATGCCAGGGTCCAAGCTCTTTGAATACCAAGGACTGAGGCCCACACACACCTGATAGTGTCCAGCAGGATGTCGATGAAAAAGGTATAGCTCTCAGCAGGGATGTTCCCCTTGGCCAGGAACACCTTGTTGTAGCTGCCCTCCATCAGGTACTGTAGAGGCCAAGGATGAAGAGGGTGAAGAGGGGCCTGCCTGCATTCCTGGTGCACCCATAATCCCTGTGTTGGCAGAACACCCTGGCCACATGGCCATCCATGTCCCAGAAGATTGTGCTCCTTCTCTGGCTTGCTGCTTGCTTACACACACACACACACTCTCTCTCTCTCTCTCTCATTCACTCTCCCAGCCTGCCCTGGCCTCATATCTAATTACTTCATCTCCTCTCCAATTATAGGACACAGCTAGACTGAGCCCAGGTCCCATCTACTCAACTACCCAAACTCTACTGCCTGCCCCCCCTGCCCTCCATGCCATCCCTTCTCACAGACAAACCCTCCCCAGACCTCAGTCAAGAAGCAAGTTCCTAACCCCAGCTCCTAAGACTCTCCCTAGCCTCACACACCTTGCCCTACAAACATTTTTTTTTCTCTGTATTTTAGGGGTCTACAGGGTGTTCAGGGTCTCACTACAAAATTGGACTCAGTGATTCTCCTGTTTACAGCCTCTCAAGTGCTGGGATTATGGGCTTGCGCTACCACACCCAGTCTGAATCGCTGTCTCAGTGCACCCCAGGGCTGAGGCTGGCACAGCAGGGCCAGGGATTGAACACCCTGCGCCTGCCTGCAGATGCTTTAATCTGCTGAGCTACTTGGCTGGCCGGGTCCCACAAACATTGTATCTTCTCTGCTGCCTTTCACACAGCACTATGCACTGCCTGGATTTCCACACGGTCCACCTCTCAGTCCTTTCAAGTCTTCCTCTACATCACCTTTTCAGTGAACCCTTCCTTGATCATCATATAAAATTTCACTCCTTGTTCCCAATCCATACCTCTTGCATTAATTTTCTCCATAGCCTTAACATCAGACAGATGACAAGATTAGTTTACTGTCTATTGTACCTTGCTGCCATCTCCACTAGAAGCAAACATTTTGCTGGACTCTGTAGTCTGAGACCCACCATAATACCTGGCACACAGCTGGGGTTCAGTATTTGTTAGGTGCACAAACAAATGAGTCTATGAGTTTGGCATGGTAAACCCTGGTACTCCAGAAAATCCTCTCTAATGTCTGTCCCAGGCCCTCCCTCCCCGCTTCCCAGCCTCACTTGTTCAAGGGACACAGGGTGCTTGATGTAGACATTGGTCTGGATATCCTTGGCAGGCAGACGCTCCAACTCCGTGTGGAACTCAGCCACGCGGTTCTGGGACAGCAGGAAGAGGAGGTTGAGGCCCAAGAGCTGGTGCATGTAGGCCGACTCAGGGAGCTGCTCCCTGTGGACCAGGGAGGGGAACCAAGGTA